GATTTAGCCCAGCAATTGTGTATGCATTAAGAATAAAAACTATACCAACAGTGACTGTTTGAATTCATATCAGGATAGTTCATGTCCTGTTGAAATGGAGCAGGCTTATGAAGATGTATTTTTGTCTTTCACATAAGGCTTTTTTTTTCTATTACCTGCTATAACTTGCCACTCCTCCAGTGCACTGTCCTTTTTTAAGTATGAAAGATTAAAACAGAGCTTTGAGTGATTTTTGTTTCTTGGCAACGCCTTTCTACTTCTCAGCACTATCACTGCTACAAAGTATGTCTGAAACCTTGGGTCTGATGACAGAAATCTTCAAAACAAGCAGTCAAGAACAGAGGAAGCTGAATCTACTGTGTTCTTTCTGTTAAACCTCAGTGAACTGTGTCTCCATCAGATATTAGTGTGATGTCTCTGACTGAAGCATTTATTCATAGTATAGCAGTTGACTGTGATTTGAATGATACCTTTTCAATGAGACTGTCTGGGTGTAGCTGAGAATCTAGCTTATATTGCATATTCTTGCACACAATGACTGATGATTTGGAAATCATATAGTTGTATGCATATCACATTTCTATGTGTGTCTGTGTACATTTGCCATCTAAAGAAACAATATTCTATTGCTTTTAGTTTTCGGAATTTATATTCCAAATACATATAAACATTTCTCTTTTTACCTGGGAACTTTTGTATTTAAAAGTATTCTTCAAGGCTTCTTTTTCTTTTCCAATGCACTTCATAGAAGTTTTTGATGTTACTAATCTCCACCTGCCATTCTTTGAGTTGGAAGGTGATTCTTTAAGTGTTCATCCCCTAACACCACGTGCAGCACTAGCTGGGGAATACAGAATCTGCCTGAACTGAATTTCCTAGACCTTCAGGCATGTATGACTGGCCTACTGGCTGCACTTTCCTATTCAAGCTCATAGTTATTCTCCCTGAATTCGACTGTCTTACTTCATTTGGGCTTCTTAGAGTATTCCCTTTTCAGCCTGATTTTAGCAAATTGAGATACATATCAGTGTTGCCTTTGTTGTGTCTGTAATACACTAGTGTACTTCTTGCTTGGAGGTTAGAAAACTTCTGCGAGCTGAGTTTTCTTTCTGTGCTGTTCTAGTGCTGATGTGCAGAGAATAGTGGCGTTAGTCTTTTACCAGTCTATGAGATATCTATGAGAACAACTACCCAGTTGTTCTCCTGTTTGAGCAGTATTTGATTTATAGGTTATTCAACCTCTTGCAAAAACAGAGAATTGAAGATGCTTTGGTTATGCAGTTGCCCCGTTGACAGAGCAGACAGATGGAGAGGATTTTAGACTTTCTAGTGGAATAGCTGTGTTAATCGCTTGATTCTTATACCCTGAACTTTTTTTTTTTAATAAGGTAGATACTACTTGCATTCTCAGGGTTAATTCTGAGCTGCAGTGGATCTTAGGTTGTTATTAAAAATGTTTATTAGTGCACTTACTTATATATAATGCAGTGCTAGAATAAGGTGCTGGATTGCTAACGCTGAAAAATGAAAATTAATTGTCTATTAACTAAAGCAAAAAACAAGAGATGTGACCAGTTTATATGTCCCTATTCACTTGTAAGGGCTGTGTTTAGGAAGAGAGGTACCTTAACATTAATTTGGCTTGGCTTTATCCTAGCTGAATGAGATGCCTGAGGTGAGAGTAAAACCACCTTAAATCTCTACATAGCTGAAGGAGAGAGACAGGCTCCTGTTGAGAATGATTCACATCTTAGGTGAGCTTAATTGCCTTCTGGAGAAGGCCAGCTCTCTTCATCCTTTTTCCGTGCAGAGAATCAGTAGTGCTCATAAAGTGGGACCTTTATAGGCCTTTGACATCTTTCCTCCTACTCCTTGCTATACCCAACCTTCCTAGGATTATAAGCTGCTCTGGCAGGACATTTTAAATAATTTCTTCTGCAACTTATCCATCCCTGTTTTCTGCTCTTCATTCCATTTCTACTTCACCCACCTAGAACTAGAGAGTCATACGATCATTCAGGCTGGGAGGGACCTCAGGAGGTCTCTAGCCCAACCTCCTGCTCTAAGAAGGGTCAGCTCTGAGGTCAGACCAGGGTGCTCAGGGCTTTATCGGGTCTTGAAAACCTCCAAGGATGGAGACTGCATAACCTCTCTGTGAAACGTGTTCCCTTGCTTGGCTATTCTCATGGCAAAAAAATCTTTTCCTTATGACAAGTCAGAACCTCACTTATTTTGGTTTATGACCATTGTCTCTTGTTTTACTGCCATGCACCCCCATAAGGAGCATGGCTCCATCATTTGATAATCTTCTCGTAGGACACTGCTGTTTGTTAGGTCACGCTGAAGCCGTCTCTGCTCCAGGCTGATCAAGCCCAGCTCCCCCAGCCTCTCCTCACAGGGGAGATGCTTCAGGTCTGACCACCTTGGCAGCCTCCGCTGAGCTCCCTGCAGTTTGTCCATGTCTTTCTTGTGTTGGGAGGCCCAAGACTGGGCCTGGTGTCCCCCATGCAATCTAACGATTTCTGTGTAAAGAGAAATAATGGGAACTCTTTTTTCTCTTGAAAAGCATTACAATTCAGAGTCCAGGAAGAGTATGAATCAGATCTGGAGCCTATTTATTTTCTTCTAAATCTGAACAGAATGCTCTCTAATCAGCATCAGAGTTGTGGAAGTAATAAGCTCTGGCCTTCCCTGGCAAGCCCCATCATCCTTATCTAAGAAATACTTTCTCTAAAAAATATCAGCACATTTCCGCCTTTGTTTTTGCTCCTGTTCTGTAAAGATACAGAATACCTGAAAAAAGAATGTTATAAATGTTAATGATAAGTCACAGTGCGAAGAAGAAAGAAAAGCTTTGTGAAATTAACAGTTAGGCAACATAAAACAAATTAAACGAACCTCAGCAACTAAATCACTACAGAATTTATTGCCTCAGGATGTCTGATCCAAGAGATAATAGAATTTAGTGGCTTAAAAGATATAAATAACAAAAATATATGGACTTACATTAATTAGGATAAAATTCCAAAGTGGATTTGCACACATCCCAAGCATCAGGACAGAAGCAACTAACTTCCTTCTGTTAGAAAGTGTTTTTGTAGGCTGGTGATTTGGAAAAGGCTTTTTAGCAGGATTATTGCAGTTTGTAGCAGATCGTAGAGTTCACTGACAAAAAGAGCCTGCTGGATTTACGTAGATGATATCTCTGCCAGAGGGGCTGGAACGAGTTTGCAGAGCACGGAAAGCAGAAGGGTATGTGAGGGTGCAAGGCATGAAATAAACCTGGTAAGGTTATGTGCTCTCAATCAAGTGCTGTCCAGATCCCCCTTTTTGCTCCTTCTGCACACTTACGGGCTTTGGGGTGGCTTAAAAATGACCCATTTCTTCTCCTGTATTGCATATACCAGTGAATGTGTCTTGGTGAGCAAACAGATGAAAGAAGGAATACTCTGGAGTATGGATGAAATACAGGTGAATAACTATGTCTGTATTTCATTCTTATATCCAAAACAATAATGCATGAAGCATAAGCGAATCCCAGTTTCATCACCATTTAGCAATGACATAGCAGTACTAGCGTTTCTTTCTGCATGACAGTGCTGTGACTGAAATCTCCTCAGTTGCCACTGTGATGTTTGAGAGTGGTAGGACAAGGCAGATCTGTGCTGAAACATTTATGATTAGCATTGCTAAGAGTCAAAATGCAGACAACAGAAACAAATTAAGTCTTTTTAAAGCATGAATTTGATGTATGTGTGTGTGGTAGCGGCAGTCATGGAGAATTGCTGTTTTGCCTTTTTTTTTGAAATGTAGAACTATAACATTTTCTGTAGTGAAAATATTCATACTTACAGAGTCTGCATGCTTACTGAATCCATGGTTTAAATCAGAGATCCCCCTCTTTTTCAGGCATGTCTCACAACTTCTGTCTTTTTCTTCTTTATCTTTTCCTTCCTCCCCCTTCCCAGCTTCTCCTTACTCCCTAGGCTTCTTATATGGCCTTTTTCTTGTGCTGTTTCCTTTTCTCATCCCTGGTGTTGTCTTGAAGCAGCATGATCCTGCTGTCCTGCAGCTTTGTAGTGGGGCCCAAACAAAGTAGCTCAGAAAACCTTGTGCTCCTCTCAAAAAAATTAAATTTTAAATTAGAATGCTGCACTGGTTGTGGATTGATATTAGTAGGTTGTTAGGAAATATTTAAAGTAACAGGAGAGATTGCTATGCAGCTATTTTAGCAGTATAAACTGGAGTTCTTGCAATGCTGGTAAAGGAATCTGGTAAAGAATGAAACGTAGTAGGACTTGAATAATGCAGCAAGAGCGTGACTAGCTAATACTGATCTCTTCCTAGAACATTGGTTCTTGTGAGCCAAACCAAACCAAGTAACTACAAAGAAAGCATTGAGTAAGAAAATTACTGAAAATAAAAGAGCGCCTGTGATCCTGACTGTTACATATTATGGTTTTGTACACTACAGTGAATTAAAGTTATTCCTCGTTATATTCCCAGTAATGATACTTCTAAGGAAATCTCTGTCCTTTACTGTAGTTCTGATAAAGTTCCTGAGGAAAATATCATGTAATTGAAATCTCCTGTTTTAATGTTATATAATCTGAAACTGTTCTGAAGAGAAAAGCAGGCTGCACAGTCAGGGTAAGAATGATAGCAGTTTTGTCAGCCTCGAAACAGTGAGTGAATGTCATGGGGCCACCTGCTAATGCTAATATAAGTAGTGGAACTGCAGCTACAAATATGAGTTCTAATAGCCATTTATTAAGGAGAATGCTTTCTTTAATGCCATCATTATATTACATAGAAGAAGAGAGGGCTTTCATGACACCAGGACCTTGATTTGGAGCCAGGTGGTTATCTGCAGGAGATAGGATGAATCCAAACAAGAAGACTAAATTGCTGCCAAGTCTTTTATTACATAGTCTTTAAATTGCTGTATAAGTCTTTTAACCTTTTAAAATTCTCTTTCTTTTCTTTTGTTCTTTCAACAGTGGAAGCTCTACATTTGGGAACACTGATGGCAGCACATGGCTATTTCTTTCCAATCTCAGACCATGTTCTAACACTAAAGGATGATGGAACCTTTTATCGATTCCAGGTGAGTGTTTTATATATGTTCCTGAGCTGCACAAATGGGAGCTCATACTAAAGGCCTCATATGAAGGTTCATGGCAAATTATAAAATGCTTTCTCTCTTATGTAACCTAGCAGATGGTGACAATTCCTCTTGAATTAAAAATTGACAGGATTTTGTTCGGAAAATTAAGTCAATAAATTGTGTTAAGAAAAGAGTAGCCCTTCTGATCCTTGCAAACGTATTTGGTAAGCAAAATAATGCTAAATGTGGAAGTGTCTCTCATGAAATAAATTACTCTAGTATTTTTGAAGTTTAATAGAGAAAATGAAATTACCTTACAGACTCTTATTACCAACATACTCTTAGTTTGCAAAAGGGGAGGTATCTATTAGAAAAGGAGAGCAAAACATATTTTTTGCCTGTCAGAGGACTTCCTTACAGATAGCAGACTAATACTAAAGTAGAAATGTGTTCTTCAAAAGAGTGCAAACACATTTCTACATCACAATGTATATGACAAAGATATGCAGGTGCTTCAGAAGAAGCTAGAAGGAACGTTCATTTGATATAAACATATAAATATATGTGTGTATTTTATTCAGGATCCTACCTAGTTATATTTCGTTGTATTAGATTTTAAACTAAAGGCTTAGGTGGGTGGGTTCTATCAATGAATAGCAAGCTAGAATTTTGCAGAGCAACACCTCCTCTGACTTGTAACAAATACGATTGTATAGTATTTGATTATGTATTCTAGACCAGGAATTAATTTGCTTGGTTTGCCATGTGCCACCACTGACAGCGGTGGTTTTATTGTGTATTGTGATTAAGCAATAGTGGTGGCAGGTATCACCACCAGCTGCTTGAAGACCTTTACTAGATATTTGCTACTTTGAGATCATGATATGATGAGCATCATTATGAAATTGATTATGTAAATATCATAGTTTGGGAAGCCTGTTCTCCTATTGCCAAGTGCATTACCTAGTCACAGAAAAATAATCTCTGATAGAACACAGTCTATTGTCCTCAAGATAATTAAGTCTAAATTTTGTCTTAAAAATTATTTAAGTAAGAAACCATAGAAAATAAAATAGACCTGAGACTGCTGTCTTACAAATATAGAAAAAAAAATGTGATATACTGGAGAGCAGTTATTGCATCAAGCATTATATTAGGTTAATTGCTGTAGAATACTTTTATCAATATTTTTATTTGAGTTCCGCTCTATAGACCCCATATAAAGGAAAAGAAAAGGTCCTAGTATTTGGTCTAAAAAGTAAAATGTTAGAGTGAATATAACTAAGTATCTACAGTGCAGTCTAGCAGAGAAGAGAACAGTTAGTGCATGCATTTCAGTATCGCTATTAAGATATTCTCCTGTGTAGTCGATCATACAGTGTAAAAATCCTGCCCTTCAGCAAACAATAAGTTACAAGTGTACAGGTAATACAGAAGAAAGTCATGCCAGGCTTCCTCCCCTACATCCACAGCCACCATTGATCCAGGAGAGGGGTTTTGAAGGAAAAGTTTTCCCTCCCGGTGTGCTGCCTCCTCCTCAATATTCAGCCCAGAATCTGTTTTCTCAACTCCATTTCCCCTTCTCCCCCATCCACACAACCCCGACCTTGCCTTGGTAGCTCTGCATACCAGACTGTCCTCTGACCAGTGACCCTTAATAGTTAGGACTTATCCACTTCCCACTGTTTCCTTTATTTCCTGCTCTCGCTTGGTGGCAACTGCTCATTCAGAGTTGGTGTATGGGAGAGAGGGATGGCACAGGGTGAAGGGACTAACTGCTGAGGGGAAGGCACTCAAGGGGTTATAGAGTAAGCAAAATGCAGAAAAAGATCAAGGAGGTGGTTGAGGTTCTGATTCTTGCCTTGTCTCTGCATAAGCAGCAGCCAGTAGGACACATTATTGGAGGACCTCCTTTTGCAGAGAATGGAACTTATTTTGGGGGGTTCAGCTTACTGAAATCAAGGTGAAAATACTGCACAGCAACTGGTCTGCTTATATCTACATGTGGGAAATGAGCACCTCCCCTACCATAATTCAGTCGAAGGAAGAGATCAATTAGCATTTGCTGTGCTGTGAGCAACTGAGGTTATTGCAGCTAGTCTGTCATGGGCTTTCCTCGGAGAAGTCTACAGTCTACATGGCTGGACATAAAGATTTAGTTAGGGTTAGATTGTAAACCAATGTCAATTGTTTTATTTAAGTTATGGATTACGCACATATTTGCCATGTGCGTATCAAATAAGGTAATTTCCTCAAGTGGTGCCCTGGTAGGTAGCTGTAGCAATTTGGCTATTTGCTGCTTTGTAGCACCCTTTGCAGCTGCTGCTTTAAAGCTGATTTAAGTCTGCGTTGCTGTAACTATGCTAACAATGATAAAACAATGCAATTTTAGCTGTTAATGTATGGCATGAGAAAAAATATATAGTGGTGGCATACTGTGTAATTAGAGTTGTACCAGCATAACTTACTTCACTGAAAAACCTGCGTTCCTTATCAAAATAAAGCTAATGCAAAAACTATTATTACAACTGTTAAATTGGAAGATGAAGACAGTATATTCAACAGGGAGAAAGGAAATGTTTCCAAAAGTTCAACTGTAAATGTGTGAATGTTGCACTAGAATACTTGTTCAGGTGTTCTGTTGTTTCTTCAGAAATAGGACCCTTGATTGGACAGGATTCACCAATTTCTAGATATTTTAATAGAAAGAGAAAATGCAGTGCACCTGCCAGCACCGAGAAGTTTAGAACTTGTCTCTGCAGAGAAGTCTTTGCCTGCAATACAGCAGCCTGACCTACAAAAACCAGGCTAGCTACGATAACGTTCTCGATGCACTTCATTTTTGTAATCCAAAGGGTAACAGATTCCCTCCTGGCAGTAAAATTACTTCCAATTTGTTTTAAACAAGTTGTATAGAGATGGCTAAAAGTAGTGGAGATTATGTTTCATTTGCACAAACGCCCTTTTACAGGCAAAATTATGCTTTTTCAGTTATTACTCTTGCCATCAGGAGGGCTGTAAAATCCTAGCTGTATCTGCTCTTTTAGATAATATGGCTTTAGAAATAAAAAACCATTCCTGATTGTTCTTTGACCTACTCAGGACTAATTAGGTCAATTTCTGTGATAATAATTTAAATCAGAGGGGATGGATCTAAATATTCTTTGTCTTACTCATAGAGTTGTAGTTTCTTATTAATCTCAATGTGGCATAGCAGGAAAGTTTGGGCTAGTGATGCTTTGCAAACCTGAACTCTCAGATTCTGAACGTGTGTATGGCTCTTTCATGGTATTTTAATCCTAGTACCAAAGAAGGAGCTGAATACTGCTCTCCACGCTCCTGTATCTGAGAGCAAATATGTGCATGAGGCACAAATAGTGCAAGGTGCACCTTAGAAAGCAGATCCTCCTGAGGCCAAGCATTGCTCACTGGCATCCTTTCAGCCCTGTCCACATTACTGATAACGTGGCTGTCCTGGTGAGGAATGCCCAGCTCTCACCAACTAAGCTGCTAACCTTCCAGAAGTGTCACCCAGAGAAGGAAATGTTGATTTCTTCTACAAATTGCACATCCTGCCTAAGTGTCTCGCCACCCATAGTGAAAAGTAGTATTTTCTAATACCTTTTGTCTTTAAGCAAACTCCTAGGATACTTGAGGCTTGTAATCATCACAATCCCATTTTTCGATGATTAATTTCTAATTTATTGTAAAATACGTTTCGGAGGTAAAGTTTAGGTTCTGCTATTGTTTTGTAACTTTTAAGTTGAAAGGCATAAATAGCTGAGAAAAGGGTGAAAATGGGAACAAAGTTTCTTGTGAAAACATGAGTCTGGTGAAGACAGCAACAAAAATTTGAGTTTGGCAAGATGAAAATTTCACTTGTAATTTCTTCTCCTGTTCAAAAGACACTTTCTTGAAGAACATGTCTAACCTTTCCAACCTTATTTTTCTCATCCTTTAAGTGGAGATTAAAATACATAGCAAACAAATGTTGCAGAGAGCTTTAAACATCTTGGACGCAAAACTGTGTGGAGTGTGAGGGGCTGTGGATGCTTGCGGATCCCCCTCAGGGGCATCATCGTGCTTACTGGGTTGCTCTGAGTCGCTGGACTGAGCTGAGCTGAGCACCCTGGGGCTGTGCCCCGAGCCGAGCCAGCCCCAGGGCTGAGCTCTCCGGCCCTGTTTGAACACTGCAGCTCTCCACCGCTGTCTGTAGCCTCCTTGGAACAGCTGCCGTGCCTCGAGAGAAGGCTTTTATTGGAAGCCACTTCTTTACAATAAAGGAAAGAAGCAGGTTAGCTTCTCCAGCGTTTTGCTGGTTTTATTTGGAAATTGCAGGTACAAGGACTATTTTGTAGTCTCTGCAGCTCAGGCTCAGCATGTACTAGTTCTTTTTATGTTTCAAAGAGGGGAAAATCATTTCCAATCCATGTGTCTTTCTGACTCCCCTGTCTGTCTGCTCAGACACACTTTCCCCCACTGCCTTCCATGTTCATCCCCTTCCCAGGTTAGGAAAGAAGAGCCAAAATCCGTGTTGTTTCCTACTACCTCAACCTGTTTTTTTGATTCCCAGTTCACAGGGGAGCACTGCTGGCTGATACCCTTTCTGTTTGGGCTAGATGCTGCTAGACCAGCGTTCTTAACCTTTTCCTTTGCTAAGAGATCATTTGAGTCAACTGTAGTGAATATAAACCTGAATGCCTATGAACTCTGCCATCCCTCATGCAAGGCGTTTAGACTTGTATATAACAATTCTTTAGCAAAGACTTGATTTCTGCGGTTTATAAAGATTCCCTAGTGCCCATTAGAAGAAGAAGAACAGTAATATGCAAAGGAAGGTTTATGACTGATTTGAATATTCCTCCCCCATCCACAGTAATTAGATTTTAAAAGATTTCAGAGAGTGGAGCAGCTTCAGAAACTACAATCCTTTTCATATTACTATCAACAAGGGGTAGCTGAAAGATACTTAATGGCCTGCCCCTTCAGTAATACAGTAA